CCCTAATTCCTCCTTTAGTAGGTGCTAACAACTGCAGTAAGTATCTAACAGGACTGTCCCTCCCTCTCATTATATTACTAACTGCCTGTCTTTCAAAATAAATTTCTGCAGACAAGAAGGTAAAATGCAGAAATCTCTTATTAGCTTAGTTAGGAGAACTACACAAGAAGATGGATGTTATAAGAGTCCATGTGGAACAGAAGTGGGTAAACCTTATTCTTTAGCAAGTCTTTTTCTATTCTTGATTATTCACTTCCACCATTATGTTTTACCACAAAATACTTATGAATGGTGTATTCCTAGGATCACAGAATAGTTCAGGGTAGAAGTGACCTCAGAAGGTCACTACTCCAACCTCCTGCTCAAAGTAGGGTCTGACTAGGTTAGTTAGAGCTTTACCCAGTCATCCATGGAAAGTCTCCAAGGTTGGAGACTGCACAACCTATCTAAGCTACCTGTTCCAACACTGGCCTGTAGAACAGAATCACAGAATTGCTAAGACTGGAAAAGTTCTCTAAGATCATGAATTCCAATCACGATCCTCAAGGTGAGAAAATTTTTCCTTATAACCACTCTGAAACTCTTGTGCTGCCACCATGAACCACTGAAGAACCCTGCCGCATTTTTCTAATCTCCCTATAGTTACTGCAAGGTTGCTGTTAGGTACCCCTGAAGCCTAGTAGTGATCCTGAGCTGGATCTTACAAAACAGATCAAAAGATAAGAATTAACCTCCTAGGGCTAAAGCTGTCCTACTACCAAGTATTTTTTTCTGAGAAGAGGTATAAGCCAAAAAGCTTAGCAGAAATGCATAAAACTGTATTAAAGGCCTTCCTATGCATAAAGACATAGAAACAAGTCAGAAATTGATGTTGAACATTTGACAGCACAGAAGCAGAATTAAGAAAAAAAAATATCTTTTTTCCTCTTATTCAGTAAAACCAGGGTACACTTAAATTCCAGATATAAGACAAAAAGTTAGTGTATATTACCTTCGGCAATTTCTCTAAATTTCGCTTCTGCACCAGGACTCTTGTTTTTGTCTGGGTGGTATTTCATAGCCAGCTTGTGAAATGCCTTCTTGATCTGGCGGTCAGATGCATTTTTTGGAACTCCTAAGATATCATAATAGCTCTCTGTAGCCAGTATTAATTCAGTTATCATTAAAATGCAGAGAGCAAATGTGAAGACAGATTGTGTAGTGGCCATTTCTCCGGTTCCTAGAAAGAAAAAGAAATATACTTGAAGGACAAGTTATTTCACATTCCACAACAATTTAAAGTTACAACTCCAAGCTGGAAAAGGAGGACCTGTATGTTTCAGAAGTCAATGACAGACTTGCTTCACCTGTCGAACTCTATTTCGCTGTTTTCATATTCACAGAATATGTAAGTGAAAACACTGCAATTCACATTTCACATGCATCTCAAGCACATTTTAGTGCTCATCTTTGTTTTACTCTTATCCTTAACTGAACATTCTCCCACAAAGTTACCAAAGTAAATACACAATATTATGCATTGCATCAAACATTTTAAGCTGGCATACCTGAAGTAGCTTCATACTAATCCTTGAGTTCTAGGACTTCTAAACACAGCAGCTCTAAATTAAGACCAAGCTGCAAAAACTCACTCAATACTGGAGACTGATTAGGTGGTGCAACAATAGGAGCCTGAGATCAACTGTAAGGTGCAGGAAGATAAGACTATTAGACATTCGTGCTAAGCTTCAGAAAGTCATTTAACTAACCTAAAGTGAACACTATAAAGAGTAAATCACTCATTTAAAGTACAGAGTTCAGCCAAGTAGTGCTCATTTTCCTTTACTTTACAATGGGCTGGACTAAGCTTATTTTCATACTAGATTGTAGTATAAACACCTACTATATCTTCAATATCAAAGAGTTCATCTAATAAATACCACTGCAAAGAAAGGTTTACATATGCAACACTCAGTGTTGGAACCAAATACAAAAAAGAAGTCTTCCATACAAGACAAGCACTTTCAACAATAATTAGAAATTGTAATTTTTTTTCAGCAACGTATCTGTCCAAAAGTTACAGTTTGAAACAAACATCCAAGAACTTCGGGGAAATGCTGTCACATAAATAAGTCATTAAAAAAAAAAATTAGTTCTCCATAGCCACACAATCTTTCATGATATTTATGAAGGAGAGGGTGAGCTCTTCATACCAGAAGGAGAGACCAGATAATTTTCCAGGGTCTGTGCATATTATATTTAAAACAGAGTGCAGATATGCAAATGTTCAAAGACAGAATGCTGTTTGTCAAACCAGCATGATGTACAACCAAGCCCTGAACATACCAGACATAACATATCCCCTTCACCAGTTTACGCTGATTTGAGTGTAATATAAGAACAACTTGGAGACAAATGGTACTTTCCTGTAAGCTGAATAAACAAATTACAGTCTGAGTACCATTAAAGTTAGAATACTTCTATTACATAGTGTAAGACTCAAATATTTGTCATGAAGAGTTCAAAACCTTTGAGTACATAAGCAAATTAAGCCTTTACCTGAAAATCCATGCTCTCTAAAAAAAATAAACACCAAAACATCAAATATGGAAAAAGTATACTGTTTCTAACAGACAAGTCAGGGGGTTAAAATGAATGCTGTGAGGTGAGAGCAAAAGGCTTGCAAGATTAATGTACCCATGCCCTCTAAAGCATTTATTTGGCCAGCAGCCTGCATGATATCAAGTGTTAAGGGGCAGCAGTTGAAACAAATTGTATTTTGATCAGTGTACTTAGATACCAAACAGACAGTTCTTTTCAGTATTCTTTGTGCACGATACCAAACATATTTTTAGTACAAGCCTTTCCCACGTATTATCTCTCACCACTTCACTAACCTGAAACTTTACCCCTTGGGCACTAAGAACTACACACATTACATCCTTCCACACTTTTTGGACTTTCCTCCTTTTGTGCTTTATAGATGCAGAATTACATGTTCATCTCATACCTGAGATTGTTTTTATTTTATTTCATTTCCCCACACCTGCAACAAGCTTGCATCATCACGTGCTGCATTCTTTTAAGGCCAACCATCCTGCTGCTACTACTGAACACTGAAAAGAGCTAAAAGGGGCAGTTCATGTTCTTCTTCAAAAGTGAAATTCTCTTTTATAACTCATGAGAGCCTGAGATCATGAAGTCACTCCTTTCACATATTCTGCTCTGGTTAACCATCTCAACTTCTATTATTCTTGATAACGAAACACATCTAAGTGTGTCTTTTTCTACAGTTTTACATTAGGATTTCTGTAATGCAGTTCTTTTCTGTATTAGATTTCTAAACTGTATTAAAAACCAGTACTTAAATTTCACTGTTTTTTAAAATAACGTACACAGATTTAACACTGCCTTTGAACAAATCAGTGAGACTCGAGAATAAAATAAGATTCAAATGAAAATCAAATGCAAATGAAATATGCCTCCAATATAGGCAGCATTTTGAACATTCCAGAATTTGTTATGCTCTCTACAAATTAAGCTCATGCCACAGAACAGTCTCTTCTAACAATTATGAAGAACTACACTTTATTTAGGTACATCTTCCAATGAAGCTAAAGATTTTATTCCACAGATTACCTACTTAACTCTGCTGGGTAAGTAGTTACAGATCTCAACTACTATTCACCTCAGTATAAGAAGTGCATTGTCTAATATTTATCCAGAGTATTGCAGGGGTGATAACATTCTATCAGTTCATTATTAGTTTATCAACATCTATCAATACTTGTGGGATGAGGTGATGTTTGAGGATGATGTACCTTGAATAAAGTCTGTCACACACAGAAAATAAGAAGCTACTTGCACCTTCGAAAGTAATTAACAAAGATCTTGCATAAATGCTTATATTCAAAGTCTCACACACTCAGAGAACCCACAGCATCATTAGTGCTCTGCCACTGCTCTGCTTACAGGAATTGCCATGCACTATCCTGTGGAATGTTCATGTCCTGTAACTATTTTTGCAAACAATTTATTTACAGTAATAAAGTTACCAAAGTCTCCCACTGGTTCTCCTATCACGACTAACCCGATGAGTAAGCAAGTCTCCAAGTCCTCAGTCAGCTACAGGCAAGCTGTCAAACTCAGGGCCTTGTACTTGTCTTGGCCTCTCCTATACTGACCCGAAAACAGATCTGGGAGAAGGTTCCTGAATTTCGCTCTGGAACACAGGGAAACAGGAGTGCCGCTGGCATCATCCTGCCTATCCAGACCTCTGACGACCTCGCAGGAGCCGGCACAGCCAGTGCAGCGGCACAGCGCCGGGCCGGGGCCGGGGCCGGGCAGGCGGTTACAGCCTCCCGAGCGACCCTGTCCCACCTCCACGTCGGCCAGGCTCGGGAAAGACCCCCGCAGGCGGGCCCAGAGGGGCCCGAAGGGCAATAAACGCCCCGCACCGAGCCCCAGAGTCACCTCCCCTTTCTCTCACCGCCCCCGAGCCCACCTCCAGCCGTCCCTGGCCCCTCCGCGCCCGTCTTCGCTCCAGCCCCCTCAGCCACCCTCCGCTTCCCCCGAGCCCTCACTCAGCGGCCACGGCCCTTCCCCGCCGCTCCTCGTTCACCTGAGCCCGGCCCTTCCCCGCCGCCCCTCGCTCACCTCAGCCCGGCCCTTCCCCGCCGCCCCTCGCTCACCTCAGCCCGGCCCTTCCCCGCCGCCCCTCGCTCACCTCAGCCCGGCCCTTCCCCGCCGCCCCTCGCTCACCTCAGCCCGGCCCTTCCCCGCCGCCCCTCGCTCACCTCAGCCCGGCCCTTCCCCGCCGCCCCTCGCTCACCTCAGCCCGGCCCTTCCCCGCCGCCCCTCGCTCACCTCAGCCCGGCCCTTCCCCGCCGCCGTTCCCGCCCGCTGCCGGCGCTCGCGCAGTCCCGCCCCCCGCAGTTCCTACACGAAGCGTTGCGCCATTGGCTGCCCGGGCCCGCGTGACCCGGCGCAGGCGGGCGGCCGCGCGCCCCCCCGGCCGCTGGGGGCGCTGTGAGGAGGCGGTGCTGCCCCCCCGCCCCGCCCCGCCCGGTGCCGGTGCAGCCGCCCCGCCGTGCCCGCCATGCCCCGGTACTGCGCCGCCACCCGCTGCAAGAACCGCGGCGGGCAGAGCGCCAGGGACCAGCGCAAGCTCAGCTTCTACCCGTGAGTGGCCGCGGAGCGGGGTGGGGTCTGGGTAAGGGCTGGCCGTGGGGCTGATAGTGACCGATAACCGAAGAAATATATAAATGGCCGAGAGGCGGAACTCTGGAGGCTGGTGGTCGTCTTGGAATCCCTCCTGATCCCGGGAGGCTGGAGGGAAATAACTTTCTGCCGGAAGGGAAAGGTGTAGGGAATAAAGAGTGGACAGGCTGGGATGTAATCACGCACACCGCGCCCCCCGTAAGGGGGACGGAACTTGGACGAGGAATGGATGGTACGCCAGCCTCCAAGGGCGCTGGAATAGGTGCAGAGGATCCATTAAGACCAGGAGATTCAGATAAAAAATAAAATCTGCGCTTTTTAGCCTGCTTCGCTGCTACCTGTGTGGAAGGGTTGTTCTAGCGGGGCAGGCAGTACTGGAGGCGCTGGAAGTGCCTTCGCCTGTGTGTCCTGTGTATGGCATTGCAGTCCAAGGAAAAAACCTGGCAGAGTAGGAAAGTAAACCTATATTGATTCCTTAAAATTAAATACTCCCACTAGAATTATTGGCTTGCCTGCACTGTGAACAGAGGCGTTGGTGGTTTGTTTGGAAGCAGCCGAGTTGGCTGGAAGCTAACTAGCTCTGTTGCCAAAAACCAGTTTATGAAGGCTGCGTTGTACTCTCCAGCCACTGAATGGATCAGTTGCCATCCAGCCCGCAGTAACCTCTGGACTGTTGTGGTTACGTGGCTGTCGATTCACAGAATGGTGAGTTATAAACAGCATTTCACAATCCTGAGAGAAGCACAGTGCAGGTAACTAAGTATTAATGTATTTGTGTTAAATAGTAGTGTGGAACCATTTGACAACAAAAGGAATTTAAGAAAAATTTGAAAAATAAATTTCACAGCTAGCCTCAAAATCTGTTATGGTAAAATTTATATCTCAAACTAAGTTTGGCTTCAGTTTCTGAGTAGTCATAGTTATTTCAAGATAAGGAAGGCTGTGTAGGAAGACGACTTCAAAGAAATTTTAGTTTAGATTGAAGGAAAGCCCTGGCGCATCTCTAATGTAGAATGCATCATAAAACAATCATGAAAATAATTTAATTTTCCTTATGCTTTAGAGAATGTGAGAGCCACATGGATAAACAAAACAAGTTTGAACACTGAGTCATGTTCATATTCAAATGTTGTGGAGATGATTACAAGAACACAGATGTTTTATCTAGCCATTGAGTTGTGCTGCCTTCCAAGTATAATGCTCCCGTAGAAGGCATGCTGAGACTTGATTTATGGTGTTCTACTCCCTTGCTCCTTACCACCCCCAAAGGAGTCCTCTACTGCTCTGTGGTTTGGGGTCTGAGCCCCTTCCAAATGTTTTTAACTGTAACCTAATCTCAGCTGGCCTAACTCCTAACTTGGCTCTTCTTTGTTTCATTTCCTCACCTCTCTGACTTGTGCAGTGATGGCAGCTGCTAAATAAATACTGTCCACTTCCTCTTTCCATTTTCCTTTTTTTTTTTTGTCTTGTTTACACCAGAGAACAGATTCTGTTGATGAGTAAGTGGTATTGAAGCATGAGCACGTTTTGGCAAAGGTGCCCTTAAGCTAAAATAATAACTTTAACTATCAGACCTGTCTCTTGCTACAGATTATTTTGTTTTCTATCTGAAGCTGGCTGAGTCTGGGGAAAGCAGGGAGTGGTGTGTTACCAGAGTGTAGGGATAGGTGTTCTTTTTTCAGAAGATTTCATTTTGAGATTAGAGCTTAATTAAATATTTGCTTGAGGAGACTTTCTGCCTAAGAAGAAACCCCTTTTTCAAAGATAGGGGATGTTTCTTTCCCTCTTGCATTCCAGAGAAAAGCTGCCTCTGTGGGCAGTTCCTTGGAATGTGGAGAGGTAAAACAGATGTTACAGGCAGGCACAGCAGAGAGGACAGAGGAGATACTACCTTGGCTAGTATAAATCAGCAGAAATTCTGCTGCTGAACTCCAGAGCAAATACCCAACTACAAATAATTTGGATAATTATTGGATTAACATGTATATGACATCCTGATTAGCATTTAATATTTAAAATTTTTGAAAAAAAATTATTTTAATACCTTGTAAGGGACGATGAGATATTCTTTTTTTTAGAAGAAAGAAAGAAAAAAATAACAGGTTTTCTTGATTTTTTTTCTTTTTAACGTGTTTTTGTTTGTCTTTTCAACTGCTTTAAAAAGATTTCCACTTCATGATAAAGAGCGACTTGAGAAATGGTTGCGGAATATGAAACGAGATTCATGGACTCCAAGTAAGCACCAGCTTCTGTGCAGTGACCATTTCACCCCTGACTCCCTTGATGTGCGATGGGGTATACGATACTTGAAACACACTGCTGTGCCAACAATCTTCTCTTCCCCAGATGATGAGGTAACCTAATTTTATCTTTTTTTTATTGTAGTACAAAGATAACCAACTATAATATAGATGTTCTAATTACCTAATTATCTGTAATATAATCATAATATAATCATAAATTATTTAAAAAATAGAATTCCTGTCCGTTAAAATAGTTGGTCAACAGGACTGACACAAAACATATGTGTGAGATTCTATAGCATAAAGGAAGAATGACTGACCATACTCTGACTGGAGCCTCAATATCTTTTTAAACTGGAAATTACAGAAGCATTTACTATAGAAAAATTTAAATTCTTCATGAGAATGATTCTAAATTTTTTTCCAGTGCAATTAATCTTAATATTTTAATGTTCTTTTTAGACCTTTTATTAACTGTACAGAAATACCGGTTTTGGATTGTATTATTTTCTCTTTCCTGTTCCTAACTTCTCTAACACCTAAGAGCTCAGGACTGTAGGCTGCCAAAGATATCCTACAAAGACTATTCCATCTTGTCTTTCACAGGATTGTAATATTGGTTACATAAAAGTACTGTACTACACAGGCACCTGATCTTGGTGAAAGCTATACTAATTCTCTTCTGATGTGTTACTGTCTTCCTCTATATCATCACGTTGGAGATGGGAGAAATGGGGGGACTGGAATTAAAGTTAAATTGATGAATCTGAAATATGTGGCTAATTAATTTTACAAAAAAATAATATTTAATCAAGAAGTACTTTATCTTCTTGGACAGCTGCAACTGTTGTCTAGGCTGCTTTTGACTCTCTAGAATGAAAAGCAATCTTGATAAATCTCTCAAATAGAAAAATAGAAAATCTTTCAATTTATGGCAGTAGTAACCTTAGCAGGAAATATCTTTCCATTACCCCCCCCACCTGCTTCAATATATCCCTCACTTCCCTGTGCTACTGTTGGAACAGGGAGCTTTGGAACTGAACTTTGCTGCCCCATGCTTCTGTGCTATTACAGATAAGCTGTGTGTTTTCACTCCAAAGAAACATTGTTTTCCCCATGTCTTCATTCTTTCTTGATTTGCATGTGACCATAGACCAGTCATAGTACACCTACAAAGATGGACAGTGGAGTTACGAAGGTAACAAACTTTTTATATAATGCCGTTGCCAAGAACATACCAATGGCTTCTCTAAATTATTTTTGCATTAGCAATATATATCTGAGAAAGCCCGGGTAGATTTATCAAGTTTGGAAAAGTAATATCCTATGCTTCCTTTCAATAAATCCAATCACTTCCCCACTATAAAAAAAAGAGAGATGCCAGTTCTTCATACCTGTGATGCTGTGACCTTGTTTTGCTGGGATCTCACTTCTCTCTCTGGCGTCACTTTTTTCTCACTGCACTTTTCTAAACATCAAGTCATATCCTGTTGATGACCACCTCAGCAAATCAGCAGTATCTGTTGACTTGACCTCTGGTTCTGTACTTGCCCAAACCTTAATTTTCTACATAGACTGAATATTCACAAAGATATGGGAAAGAGTTCTCCTTACTTTGGGGAAGAATCCTTTGTTAGTGTGTTCCTGACTTAATGTAGAGGAACAAGAAGCTAAGGCCCCAAGCTGCATTTGGAAAGCTGAGAGTGAAGAATTGTATATTTGCATACTGTTCACCACCAACTTGCTTTATGTGTTACCAAGAAGTGAAGGATATCTTCCCAGAAATGCTAAATGACAGCCACTATTTTTTTTCACTGACATACAAAAGAGCTCATTTGCGTAATGATCTTAAATGTAATCATAAAAAAGGATAAGCTTCAAATTGTCTCTCTTTCAGTATCAACTTCTGTTTAAAGTCCTGTTAACATTGCATTGTTCTGCTAAGATTTGTATCTATCAAAGAAGTAATTTAAGAATTGTAAAGTTTAATTGTCAGAATTGAATTGCTGGTTTAAAAATCAGCCTATGTGATTGTGCATGAATATGTTTCATTATTCAGCAAGCTTGTGTTCATGATCTTTTTTTTTGTTGTTAAATTCTGTTTGGCATATCCTGCATGAGTAAAAGTTTGCTACATCTTTCTAAAACAACTTTGATGCATCTTTAATGCAAGAATCTTGTACTGTGTACATTCAATATATTAATATATTTAATACAATATTTTAGGTGGTAACAGGAGATGCTACCCAGTCTTTGTGTAGTTGCTTCTCTTCAAGTGCTTTTAAAATTACCGTCCTATGTAAAACAGTCCACATTCCTTAGAGTTCAAAAAAACCCAAACAACAAAACAAAAAAAACCCACAACCAAAAAACAAAACAAAACCAAAAACTGTTATTGCCGTTAGAGCTTTAAAATAGTATTTTAACATTTAGGACCTGAAGTAAAGTTACAGAAGATGCTTACATGAATTTTTGGACCTCTGGTATAATTTTTAAACAGTGCTTGTCTGTATTACTCCTTATGCCATACCATGCTATAGAATGAGATTTGCCTAATTTTTTAATTTTTTTTTTCTCCATCAGGAAGAACATTGTTCTCAGAAGAGTCCACGAGAAATACAGAGACAAGACCTGGAAGAAACAAATGTAGTGTCAGAGAAAGCATCTGTACCACTTGAACCTTGTGCACCAAAGGAAAATCCTGTAATTGCAGAAAACGTAGAGGAAGAAGCAGAAGTAGTTTGCTCAGCTGCATTCAGTAAACCTTTACATATTCAAAACCTGCAACTTCAAAATGAAGACGACTTTCAGGCAGAGAGTGTCGTTCTTGATAGTTCATCTACACAGCATATACATCAACCTAATCCTGTTTTAATGGCAGCAGCAGTCCACAGCATGGAAGCTACCAGTGTTCATACTTCTGTGGAGGACCCAGGAGGCTGTGCAGCTACAGTCTTGCAATTTACAGATCCTGACTACATGAATTCATCTCTGAAACTGAACAGTGCTGTGGGGCCAATTCCTGATTATGCAATTGAAAATCCTGTCCCTCACGTTGTCTGCTCTGGTGAAGTACAGCCAACAAGTGAAGATGCAGTTTTACTGAGTACAGTCACACAAAATATTGAACAGTTCAGTGGAAGTGAAGAATCTGTCATTGCTATTATTGTGCCATCTGAGAGTCCAGAACAGCCTGAAATAGTAAATAGTTCTTTCCTGGCTGTTAAGGAAGAGTTTCTTGACACTGAGGAGACAGATATGATTGAATATGGTGGAAGTGAAATGTTACAAACTGAGCATTCATACTGCAAACAAGATGTAGACAGAGATCACCTTTGGCAAAAAATTTCAAAACTCCACTCTAAGATAACTTTACTTGAAATGCAGGAGGTAAAAACTTTGGGGAGACTCAGGTCCTTGGAAACTCTTATTGGACAATTGAAGCAAGAAAACCAGCTTTCTGAAGAGAAACTGAAGACAGTAGAAAACTGCTTTACAACCCTTGAAGTAACTATAATACAGTAAAGGCTTTAACTGATGGTTCTAAAATATCTTTTTAGTCTCTTTGACAGTCCTTTTGGACAAATCAACTTTTGTTTCCGTCATAGTGTTTTAAACATCTAATGCAAATTATGTGATGAGCAAATATTCTTTAAAATGTTACATCAGCCAAAGCTAGGTGGTAGACTATTACCTGTAAAACATGACTTGCAAGTAAGCTTAAAAAAACCCTCTCAATTGGGTGAATTCTTCTAAAAAAGTGAGTGAATTGAATCAGTAAAGTCAAGTTAACCCTTTCTAGCTGCAGCCTCCGCCAAAACATGCCGCTGCTGCCTTTGAGGCAGCAGTAGAACAGACAGAATAAGCATATGGGATGGACAATTATAAAATCGTTGTTTAAAAAAAAAAAAAAAGCGTCCCAATTCTCTTTCAAATGAGTAAAGAGATATGTAATATGCATTTTTCAGTGAGGCCAAAATTGCTCTTTAGTCTTCTGTTCATCTAACATTTGTTCTGGTAGTTTTTTGTACACTTGGATCTTACTAAAATTGTTTCTGCAATAAAAGGTGTTGCCTTTCATTTGGTTCTCGAAATAAAAATTCTTTAAGAATATTGTTCACTCCCCTTTATTGATTTTATTAACTATTTCGAGTTATGGGGTACCACTACAGTAGACAGATACTACAGTTCATTTTGAGGGAAATTAATTTGCTTAAATACTTGCTGCTTACTCTGTCTGTTTGCCGCCCCTTGGATCTAGAGTTTACTGTACACAGAACCAGCACTAGATCATCCATTCCAACTGTACATTGTGGCTGGACTGGATGATCATTGTAGGTCCCTTCTAGCTGAACTATTCTGGGATATTCTATTCTACAGTGATTAGACTACTTGAGGAACTCGGTTGTGATTTCCTTTATTCCAGAATTGTGTCATCCCCACCACTACAAGTTCAGTCCAGGACTGGAGCAAATGGGTTCCTTTGCAGTCTGTTATTCTCCTTCAGACACATTCTAAACTGTCCTGGTAATTTTTTCATATGGAATTGAGGATCAAGCAACACTAAACAAAGGTGGCCTCCAACTAGATAGGTTGCAAACTAGTCACATTTCAGAGAATTTTTGAGACTTAGAGTATCTGTGCAGAAGTTGGGCTGCTAAAGCACAGAGCTGTAGGAAGTTAGTCTGTATCAGTAACCAGTTAAGCTAAGTAACCAGTTAGGCTTGTTTTGTTCTTCAACTAGTTATCTTCTTGTAGGCTTTATGCACAGGATATGCTTGGTAATATTGCTAAAGGACATAATGGTCACTTATAATATGATGAATTATTTACTGGGAGTCTGTGACCCACTGATTTTATTCCCTCTTATTATCTCATTTTATTCCGTCTTATTAGTCCCTATAACAAGAGAACACTCCTGTTCTGCCTTGTGTGCTCTGAAATCGCAAGGGATGTCCTGTATCCTCTAGAAACATTGCTGTTATATAGAATCCAATCTTGTGAACATTTTTCAGGTGGCTTCTCTGAACTGCACATTTTGTAATTTTTGCGAAGTAAGAGATCTTTCAAAGTGATTTACAAAATGCTGTATGAAATTGCTAAATGATTTGGCAGTTTTAGAGGTTTCATTAATGTCACTACAAATCCTCTGCTAACCCTGTATATTTGAAGGCTGATCATGCACTTCAGAAGTACACTGTAGGTTTTGGATTGCAATGAGAGCTTGGACATGGCAAAAGAGTTGCTATATTTCAAGCTATTATCTCAGCAAAGCTCTATTCCCAAAGAAAATGTGGGAGTTTTAACACGGTATTCGCATTGCTGATATATTTTGCTTTTAGTAATAGCTTCTTGTTGAGAAAATCTTAGATGATGCAGGACATATACTGCATCAGGCCTGCTTGCACAATCCGGCCTGCGTGCTGGATGGCAGGGACCTGTGTTCTCCAGCAGCAGATGTGTGTCCTTGAGCAGCAGATATCAGAAAGCTGCATAGAGGAAAACAAGGAAGGATGTTGTTATCCAGGGTGTGAGAAACCAGAAGATGGGGGGACCTGGAAATGTGCCTTGGCTAGTAGAGCCAATGAAGTTATAGATATAGTGTGTGAAGGTAAATGTAACCAATAGAGAGTTAGAATAGAGCGTGTGAACCCTGTAGGACCCTTGATAATGTGTGTATTTTTGGAATAAAGTCAGAGCATTGCCTGTACCTCTATGAGGATGTGTCTCTGACTCTCGAGCTCGTTTTTTGCATCTTCTCTTTTTAGCTTCTGGTATTAAAATTGAGAACATTATTTTTCACATAGATTTCTTTAAACCTGGGGAAAAAAACCCACAAATGTTCAATTTTCCTTTTTTTTTTTTCACAGAGTTTCTTGGGACTATATTAGAACAACTCAGTAACTCTACAATAGTCTGTCACCAAGTCTACAAATGTCCCTTCTATAGTGTGTTTTGGGCCAATGGGCCCAAGGTAGATGTATTACTTTAAAAATATTTACATTATAGGTGGCTATTGTTGCTTACAGGAAGATACAGCTGGTTCATTTGCCTCAGTAATAAGCTGACACTGAATTACTCAGGCTAATTATTACACAGAAGGAAAAGTAGCATGTTGGAAATGGCCACACCCCACTGAATTAGATGCTACATGTTGTACATTTTGTTTTCAGTGTTTCCTAATCATAAACTGTACAGCCTTTGCGCACAATTTTATTTCACCAAACCTGATGGGCACTTGAAGGTGCTGTATTACTCCTTAAGATCCAGTGGAAACTCCTTTTGTACAGTCACAACCCAGCATCAAAGCAGTGCACTGAATCATCATTCCTTCTGTAATGTATTGGACTTATCTTGATCCAAGTCAAATGTCCTCACGTTTTCAATAATTTTGCATTTGCATCACCTTTTTTTAAACTTTTGACTTTCAATTTCCACTAATGTAATTAACTATTCTAACACTTTATAGATTTAACAGATGGCATCTATTTTATTAATTCACCCCTTTAACTGTTCAGTTGTATTTCTTTACCACTGTCCACTGGCTACTGTAGGAATTTGGCATTTGCTTTCTCTTATACCTTCATTTCAATTCCACCAGTTTTATTAAACTTACCTAGAAGCAGTGTGGTTCCATCTGGAATAAATTGGTACCCATTTCCCCTGATTTTCCATCTTCTTTACGAGGTGGAGTGTGAAGTTTTATTTCTTTCATTCTGAATGCAGGGACAGGTACAGGGGATTTTTTTTTTCTGTCAGACTGATAAGTATCCAGGACTTCTGTGCTTTCTTTCATCAGTGGTGCAAATATTGACTGCACTCTTGCATGCATCACAAGCATTCATTACAAGTCTGTCTAGATCTCTCATTAGATGTCTTTGATCCTTTTTCAGTCTTTTTACCACAGTGAAGTTGTAATTATTCCACTTAAACCCTCTCCTACTCTTGAGTCTTGGCTCCTGCATTAGAAAAGCTAGCAGCAGACCTGGGCTCACTCAAAATGCCCTATTGGTTGGTAATTGTTATCTCTTTTCTGTTTTGCCCAAGCTAGTCCATGATGGGTGCTCTGGATGGGTGCCGTGGGGTCCAGCTGTGCCCATGTCGACCACAGGGCAGTCACCTGCTGTGCCTCCAGTGAAGGGACCCCCTGGGACTGCAGTGCTGCTGGGCTCTAATGGCACAGTTCCACTCGTGCTAGAGGCTGCCTTCTCTTCAGTTAAGCTATATGCCACATTTTAAAAATTGCAGTTCCCTCCATCTCCTAACATCTTCTGTAATGGTTACATTTCCTTCATACATAACCACACTGCTGCTTTTGGCTGGTACAGTTAATTTTCTTCACAGTAGCTGATATGGGGCTGTGTTTTGGATTTGTGCTGGAAACAGTGTTGATAACACAGGAATGTTTTAGCTACTGCTGAGCAGAGGTTACAAGGCCTTTTCTACCTCTCACCCCACCCCACCAGCAAGGAGGGTACACAAGGAGTTGTGAGGGGACACAGCCAGAACAGCTGACGCCAACTGACCAAAGGGACCCCAGACCATATGGTGTCATACTCAGCATATAAAGCTGGGGGAAGAAGAAGGAAAAGGGGTGTGTTTTGAGTGATGGCATTTGTCTTCTCCAGTCACCATTACCCATGATGGAGCCCTGCTTTCCTTGGGATGGCTGAACACCTGCCTACCCGTAGGAAGTGATGAATGAATTCCTTGTTTTGCTTTGTTTACATGTACAGCTTTTTCTTTCCCTATTAAACTGTCTTTATCTCAACCCACAAATTCTCTCTACTTTTCTGATTCTCTCCCTTATCCCACAATGGCAGAGTGAGAAAGTAGCTATGGTTGCCGACTGGGGTTAAACCACAAAGCACACTTTGGTCCCCACTGCCCTTTGTACAACTCGATCCTGCTCTTACTGGATAATGCCACTTAACTGCAGGTTAAAGTCATACGTGCAAATCCGCACTCCTGCAGTTCAGCCTGTATCCAGTACTGCCTCAGCAAAGCACTAGGCACAGCCTATTCCAGCCTTTCCATATCGCAGTGAGATGGTCTAACACCCAGGGACCCCATTATGTTGCCAGGTGAGAGCTCGTGCTGGCAGGGGCTACCTGCAGGCTCTGGACCCCTACAGCCATAATTAGTTAGTTATGTCAATGACAGTGGTAGACTCTGTTAGAGACTACAGTGGTAGAGACTGAGGTAAATGCTCAAATTCCTTTGCTCTTTAGAGATTTTAAACTTCGTAATGACAGTAGGGCAATGAAACCTAGAGCCTGCTTTTGTGAGAGATGGGCAAACCCAGCAGACACTGTGAGCAGCAGACAGTATTTTAACCACCTAGGAAGAACTAGACAAATTCCACACCCTGCCTTGAGGAAAAGTCTGACATGAGTTAGTGGCAAGTGACTTGGTCCTTTTCCATAAAGTCCACAAGCAGGAAGCCTCATGCTGTGTTGTAAGGCTGGAGGGGAAATGGCACCTGCACACATGGGCCTTAGGAGAGATGCTCAAGGCATGGGAGATGCTCAGGGGACAGGGAGTAAGGAGCGGGCTTTGGCATTTGCACTGGCAAAAGAGCTTTCCTGTGGGGCATCTCTGCAATGTCAATGCAGCACCAGTTGCAGGTGCTGTCCCTTCTATGGGTTTCCACACGCTAGGCACAGCTCAAAGATACAGGGAAAACCAAGTAATGCACTGGAAGGCATGGATCACCAGCACCAAGGCAAGAGGGAAGAGAAACAGAAAGGGAAAAGGACAAATTATACGCTCATCAACAACTTAAACATTAATGTAGATTTGGACAAAAAATATTCTTTTCTCATTTACAAAAGCATTTTATGACTTACTTACACAAGCTAATTTAAATTTCTGCAACCTCAAGTGGATCTCTAGAAATGCTTTAGCATTTTATTCATGCTAGATCTTATAAAAATATTATTGCTCTATTTTCTCCTCCACTGAAACTAGTGTAATGCCTTTCTAATTTACCTGACCATTTAATGCTGCAGAGAAGATGTGAGTTTCAGCCAAAATATTTCCCACAAAGAAAACAATAAGAACAAAACATCTAAACAGACTTTTTCCAGTAAATATATTTCTTGTCATTATTA